TTTATTTATTTATTTATTTTATATCCCGCCTATCTGGTCGGGCGAGGACTACTCTAGGCGGCTAGAATGCTAAATAGCAAGGGGGGGAGGTGTTTAAATTTTGCTGCCAAAAATAAGTCTTTCGCCTTTTGTCCTTTCAATTTTCAAAATATATAGAAATTTTTGAGTTAATAGGTAGGATGGATGCTAAATAAATTCACTATCTTTGATTCACATCCATATAGGAAACAGAAAAAACAAAACAAATTTAGCACAAGTATTTCAGCCATCATATTTTTTTTCTATTTTAGACCATGGGGTGAAAGAAACTTCATAAACTATTTAATACTGTTTCTACAGAACATTACTAGATTGAAAGTTTAGTGATATAACCTAAGAAAATTCAAAATGGTCCAAATTACGCTAATTGTTGATGCTAACTTGGTGAAGTAATTCTTACTCAGAGATCTCTTTGGTCTTAAATTCACATTTAGAATATAAAATCAATCATTGGATCTCCTGCTTGAGCAGAGGGTTGGACTTGATGACTTTTGGGGGTCCCAGTTCTATAATGCTATGGATCGATTTTTCTAATCTATAACAGGAAAGAATATTAGAAATGAGATTCTTTGATTCATTTCATAGTGGTCAAAGCTTCTCCTTCTTGCAAGATAAGAATAGATTGTTGGTTTTGGAAGAGGATTCATTATTGTCTAACTGGGGAAACAAAATTATAGATAATCAAATCCATTGATGTCATCCACAATATGTCCTCCTGATATCCTTCTGATAAGTCTTCCTTGCTAACTTGAAATAAATGTTCACCTTGGAAGCTTTGTAGAAAGAGTAGCTGCAAAAGGAAAGCCATTGATGGAAAGATCAAGTCCCGATAAAGCTTCTGCAAATCACTTTCCATTACTACAAGAACATTTAGAAGAGGCCATTAAAATATCTGGAAAAAGACTCATCACTGATTCAGGGAGCCAAACCACAGAAGGGTCAAAAGGATGCTGGTACTGGATGTAAATTACAATGACCTACAAGAGAATAAGAAATGAGAAGCTTGAGAAATGATGGGCAACCTTGAACAAGGAAAACATTGTTGAGGGTACTTTTGAGTGAAAGACTACAAAATACTGCAAATTCTAGTTTGACTCAAAATACCTGGGCTAACCAGAATGAAGAGGGGGGAACACACCACAGGTTTGGTAGGATGCTCAGTGTTACATGCACACACATGGACTGCAAATTGTGAGATCCTTGCTGTTTGGCAATTATCTTCTGCACTTCCTCTCATTTTTGAAATGTCCTTTTAGAAATAGCTACTCCAGATGCACAAGGTCAGCTATGT